GAGGCAGGAGACTCGCTTGAGCCCAGGAATTAGAGGTTGCTGTGAGCGTGATGCCATGGCACTCTACCCAGGGGGACAGCTTGAGGCTCCAGCTCAAACAAACAAACAAACAAACAAGTTAACAATAGTGATACTGAGACATAAATTATAAATTCTGAGTTCTAACTCAAAGTCAGATATGCTTTGGTTGAAAGGCCTTGAGCAAACTACTTTATTTCTCTGGATCTAAATTTATTCATCCATAAGGAAAGGGGAGAGACTACACCCATGGTTTTCAACCTTGTTTTTTGTTTTAGCAATAAAACATGTATTTTTTGGGTGGTGCCTGTGGCTCAGTGAGTAGGGCACCGGCCCCATATACCAAGGGTGGCAGGTTCAAACCTGGCGCCGGCCAAACTGCAACAAAAAAATAGCTGGGCATTGTGGTGAGCACCTGCAGTCCCAACTACTTGGGAGGCTGAGGCAAGAGAATTACCTAAGCCCAGGAGTTGGTGATAAGAGCCCACAGACTCTTATCCTTACAAAACACTAGAGAACAATAGCTATCTACTAGCATTACGGTTTTCAAAGTGTACTCTGTGGAGATTCACTTACAGAAGTAGAAGGGAAGGAGACAAGTATGTCTCCAGGACTCCAACCTGTGTTTAGCTAGACCTGTGCTTTTATGTGTTAAAAAACTATTCACATACTCACACATCCATGTGAGTTTTCTGTTAAAAGATTGTTTTATCCTGAACAACTACCTTGAATATTAAAAAAAAAAGAAAAAAGAATTTAAAAAATGTATATATATATATATATATATATTTTAAGAGACAGAGTCTCACTTTATCGCCCTCTGTAGAGTGCTGTAGCAGCGTCACACAGCTCACAGTAACCTGTGACCTGTGACGCCACGGCACTCTACCAAGGGTGACATAGTAAGAATCTGTCTAAAAAAAAAAAAAGAAAGAAAACTATTTAGGATGAACATGCAGGTAAGGGGGATAAATGTAATTTTAATTTTATTTCATTTAGAAAAGGGGTTAATATACTAGTTCCTAAAGATCCCCTAAGGGTCTGAAATGTGCAAGGATGTTTTTGATTGTCATAATGACTCGAAAGCAATATTATCATTAGGGCTTGGGGCCAGGGGTGCTTAATATCCCACCATATAAATGATATTGCTATAAAATGCAGACTTAGCTCCCCAAATGTCAATGGCACCGTCTAACAAAGATCAGGGTAAGAGAGGGAGAATAGATAGGAGAAGGAGTCCACAGATAGAGCAATGACAACAGAAGAAAGAGTGAGAAGTCCCTAAGAACAGCCACATTGGATCAAGTCTGGGCTCAGGGCCTAGGATCCAGCCCTAACTGGGATATTATAGAGCTTTTAGAGAAGAGGATGAGATCACACTTGGTGGTGGTGATGATATCCTTGCTCAGGGATTATCTCAAGTGTACTGGGCTACTCTCAATGACAGAGTAACCAAACTGCCCTCCTGAGCACCCTGGTGTAGATTCTGCGCCTACAACCTTGATAGCTTCCTTCAAACACTTCAAACTATGTGTGGAATCCTGAGGGTGCTTCCTTCTTTACTTTCAATTTCTAGAAACACCTCTTTTATGCTTCCTGCATTTCTCTGGGAATAATCTGAGGGCAAGGGCTATTTCTTCTCTTAGACTCTGAAGTCCCAGAGATGGCACAATGTCTCTTTTATTAGATTGAATGTTTCCTGAAAATGGAGCCACACCTCTATTTTTCCTCACTCTTTTCAGTCATTAAGAAAAAGTCATGCTTGCTAATTGATATACCTGAGAGGAAAATGACACCACGTGGCTTATCTTCACAGGAGCCATAGTGGGCTCAGGAGCTGTCCAAAGTACAAAGCAAAAATGCTTTCTCCCAAGATTTCTTCTGTCACTACTTATGCACTGCCTATGTTTTTGTTCTGTCAGCTTCCAGAAGAGAAAGAATCCTCACATAACTCCTGAAGAAGAGAACAAAAGAAAAATAAACTAGCCATGGCTGTGATAACTGCAGATATTTGCAGCAGTTACCCCATTTCTGATGACCAACATGGACTTAGTGGGCAGGGAATAAATCTGGACCAGCCAATGAGACTCTGAAAATGTAAAACAACTGGGATGCAACCACAAGGCAACAGAACAGCAAGTACAAAACGATATATTAATATGTTAATGTTAGATTTACATGTAAGTGAGCTGCAAAGGGCATGAATTGTGCCATAAGTCACTCATCTTTATATCTCTAGAACCTAGAACATGGTAAGGATGGGCAACAAATGTTCAACTAAATATATGATACAACTTTCTTTTGTTTTCTTTCTTCCCATAAAACGAATCTTCCTTTTTTTTTTGAGACAGAGCCTCAAGCTGTCGCCCTGGTAGAGTGCTG